TAAAAGAATAACAATAGTTAATGTATTGCAAGTGCTTTTCTTTAAAGTAGTTGCTCAGAATACAGGTTATGGCCATAAAAATTCCTCCAATCAATGTTAGCACAAACCTTCCTTTTCAGTGAACTAAGAGACACTAACACTGTAACTGACTTGCATTTTTTCTCTTTTCCCTTTCATCCTTTCCTCCTTCACCCGTCCTAGTTCCTTTTTCATTTTGAACAACTTCTTTCCATTTCACAATACTTCATTCACAATCACAACATCTATTGTACATTGTAGACCTAATTTACTCTTTTAGTTTCTCACACCAGTAGACAATATGATATTTACACATGTAACTCTAATTTATTTCACTTATGAGTATGGTCTTAAGTTGCATCCATTTAAGTATAAAAGCCTCAAGTTTATCTTTCTTATAGCTGAGTAATACTCCATTGTATAAAAATACCACATTTTAAAAAATTCATTTCTCAATTGATGTGCACTTGGGTTGTTTCCAAGATTTAACTATTAGAAACTGTGCTGCTATAAACATGGGTGCACATCTATCACTGTAGTATGTTTTTAATTCTCCTAGGAAGATAGCCAGAAGGGGAATAACTGGGTCAAATGAGACCACTAGTCCTAACTTTTTGAGAAATGTCCACACTGATTTCTACAGTGAATGCACCAGTCTACACTCCCCCAACAGGGGAAAGTGGTTTCTTTTTCCCCCCAGCCTTTCCAGCATTTGTTATTGGTTGATTTTCTGCATGATAGCCATTCTTTCTAGGGTGAAATGGAATTTCAGTGTTGTTTTAATTTGCATTTTTTAAATGACCGATGATGTTGAACACTTTTTCAAATATTTATTTGCCATTTGTATTTCTTCATCTCAGAAGTGTGTATTCATCTCAGATACCCATTTTTTGAATGGGTCTTTGAATTTGGGGTTCTGATTTTTTTTCATTTTTTTTTTTTTTTTAATTGGAGTTTTTTTTTAGGGGGGGGCCACTTGGTTATTTTTTTTTTTAACTCTATGGATCGTCTTTTATCTCTTGATGTGCAGAAGCTTTTCAGTAAGACGAGATCCCAGTTGTTGATTCTTTGAAGTATTTCTTGTGCAGTTTGGGTTTTGTTTGTGAACTCTCTGCCTACACCTATGTCTTTAAGATTTTACCTACTTTCTCTTCCAGTAAACTTAGTGTTTATGTTTTCATATTTAGATCTTTGATGCACTTTGACTTTAGTTTAGTGCATGGTGATAGATGTAGGTCTAATTTTATTCTTCAGCATATAAAGAGCCAGTTTTTGCAGCACAATGTATTACAGAGGCTATCTTTCTCCCAGTGAACAGGTTTGGCCCCCTTCTCAAAGATAATTTGGCTGAAAGGTTTTTAGTTGTTTCTATATTTTCTAACATGTTTCATTGATCCTCAGGTCTTTTTTTGCCAATACCATGCTGATTTTATCACAATAGCCTTGTAGTATAATTTCAAGTTGGGGATTGTGATGCCTCCTGTTTTGCCTATGTTGCCCAGGATTGCCTTTGCTTTTCTAGGTCTCTTCTGTTTCCAAATGAGTTTTAGGAATGTTTTCTATAGTTCTTTGAGGTATGCTATTGGTATTTTGATCAGTATTACATTAAAGCTGTATAATAGTTTTGGTTATATGGCCATTTTTATTATGTTGGCTCTTTCTATCCATGAGCAAGGGATATCTTTCCATTTTCTGGCATCCTTTTAAATCTCATTTTCCAAAGTACTGTAATTTTTAATATATAGACTTTTTACTTCCTTTGTTAAATTGATTTCTAAGTATTTCATTGTTTTGGATGCTATTGTGAAGGGTGCAGTTTCTCTAATTTCTCTTTCAGTGAATTTGTTGTTTGTGTAAGGAATGCTACTGATTTTTCAGTTTTGGTGTTTTACCCAGCTACACTATTGAATTTGATTATTGAATCTAGAAATCTTTTGGTGGAGTTTTTGTGGTCTTCTATGTAGAGTATCATGCCATGTGCAGATAATGATAATTTCACTTCTTCCTTTGCTATCTGTATTCCTTTTATTTTTCTTTCCTATCTAGTTGCTCTGGCTAATGTTTCCAGATCTATACTGAATAAAAGTGGTAAGAGTGGACATCTTGTCTTGTTCCTGATTTTAGAGTTAAAGCTTTCAGTTTTTGTCCATTTAGTATGATGTTGGCTGTGGGTTTGTCATAGGTGACTTTTATCAGATTGAGATAAAGGCCATCTATTTTGATTTTCTGTAGGGTTTTTATCATGAATAAATGTTGGACTTTATCAAAAGCTTTTTCTGCATCTATTCAGACTATCATGTGACTTTTTGTCTCTAGTGCAGTTGATATGGTGTATTACATTAATATTGATCTATGTATGTTGAACTATCCCTGTTTTCCTGGGATAAACCCCACTTTGTCATGGTGTACAATATTCTTAATGATTTGCTGTATTCTGTTTGCTAATATTTTGTTAAGGATTTTTGCATGTATATTCATTAGGGAGATTGGCTTGTAGTTCTCTTTTTTGATTGGGTCTTTCTCTGGTTTTAAAAGCAGGGTAATACTTGCCTCCAGAAATGAGTTAGGGAGTATTGCTTCCCTCTCAATCTCATTAAGGAGTTTGAGGAGTATTGTCATTAAATCTTCTCTAAATTTCTTGTCGTATTCAGCCATGAATTCATCAGGACCTGGGCTTTTCTTTGCTGTTAAATTTTTAATTACATTTTCAATTTTATTGACTGATATTGTGTTATTCAGAATTTTTACATCCTTTTGATTGAACTTTGGTAATTCATATGCATCTAGGAATCTGTTCCTTTCTGCTGTTTTTTTCCATCCCATAAGAGTAAAGATTTTTAAGTAGGTATTGATAATCTTCTGAAAAAAAATCTTCTGAATTTCCATAGCATCTGTAGGTTGTTTTCATTTGTTATTGAAATTTTTCTGTTCTTAGCTTGTATTTTGTGATCTTCAAGATGTCTTGTGATGGTCAGAAGTTAATTTTAATTTAATTATATTTTTATCAATATTTCACTTTTGTTTTTCACTGTTTGATTCCTGTTTAATAAACTCTTCTCTGCTGTGAAATCTATCCCATGCCTATCCTTTAATACTGATAGAGGTCTCTATTTCTCTTTTTATTAATTTTCAGTTGATTGAATGATGTAAAGTTAGTCTTACACTAGCAATCTAAGAACTATATATGGAAAATCTCATTCTTTTTTATTTATCTACACTACTCACTGTCATAAATTAAATTAAAATTCTATGTATGCCTGTAATAATTTCTGAACGGTTCCATTCTATTTGTGTAAAACAGTCTTTAAACCAATTCCCACCGTTAAAATTACCACAGCTTCATCGTAACTCATATTATAATAAAGACACCATTCATCTTCGGGCTATTTTGTCCTTTTACTCCCCTAAGTAATGTTTAAAACCAGTTTGTAAAACTCTGCAATGGCCCTATGGAAATGTTGATCATAATTATTCTATGGAGAAGTGGTTTTATCATAAGGGATGTTCTTAATTAAAGACACGGATATTTTCCCATATTTTGGCTTTCTATAATGTCTTCAAATAAGTGTTATTATCTTCTTAACAGAGATCATGAACTTTTATTTGAGCTTTATTCCTGGATTTCACGAGTGTTAAATCATATATTCTAATAAAACATTTCTTTTATTTTACATATTTCTTTGGCACCCATTACTTCCACAAAACTTTTAACTTAATACATCATCCATGGAATCAGTGACGTTTTTATGTTGGTTTTTGTTTTGAAGATGGCATCTTAGTACTTTGCTCAGGCTGTTCACAGACTTATGGTGTGAACCTAAGATGCTGCCTCAGTCTCTCAAGTGATTTGGATTTCAACTCTATGCCACCATGGCCCAACTCTCAGTAGCAACTTTTAATAACAATTATATCATCTTCAATCCTGACAGGTTTTTCTCTTTCTATCATTGTAGCTTGGATTTTGTGAAATATTCCGACCAGGACCTTCAGAGCAATGTTAACATGGTGAAAATGAAAAATTGAGCATCATTGACTTGCCCCTGATATTAAAGAGAACAATGTCAACATCTCCCCTTTATGTACAGTATGTCCAAATGATTGTTGTAGTCTTCCTGTATCGGCATAAGGAAATTTCTGTCCTTTTCTGATCTGTGTTTATTTTGAAGACTTTAATGGATATCTTTGAAATGGCTGGAGTGAGGGCATTACACTCCCTGGCTCAATGAATCTCTTACACCACATTTCCTCTCCCACTCCTGCTGACAATTCCAAGCACACAGGACTCCTTTTTAGTCATTCTTCCCTCCAGACATGCTTCTAACTTACATTTTTGTTTTGTTACATCCTCTACCATCGCCTGAAGATGCATATCAGGGTGGGTCACCCCTTCCTCCTTCAATCTGCAGTTATTACTAGAAAATCTACGTCAGACTAAAGCATTCCTAGGATGTACCATTGAAATCCAGCTCTCACTCTCCCTCTCACACTTCTTGTTTTCCTTCTTCACTTTCTCTTGGTCATTGGAATGGACTGGTATTATGAGATACATGTACCTTGTTAGTGTCCTATTAAGGAGAATCTCCCCGTTGAGAATGCACCTCTGCCTCCACAAATAAATCACCTGAGAAACTCCTTGACAGACAAATAGTCTTGGTTCTGTTTCCTCCATTAAACGCTTACTGTCATCCCAGGTAAGCTAACCAGCTTTATCAAAAGGAAAAAATATTCCAAAAATACTTTAAATAACATAACAATATCTTAGACTATTTATCTGTGGGGCTTTGCAGCAATTTCTTCCATTGATTATATTTTCTCCTGCTAGGCACAACAGCTGAATCATGGTCTTTGTTTTGTTTTGAATCTTCTTTTTTATATTTTATTTGCTGGATAATGACTGTCTCAGTTATAGGTGAATATAGTCTCTTTCCTTCTTAAAAAAATGGCATAGAGAGAAACAAAAAATTACCTTTTCTCGTGGAGCAGATTGCTCAGAACCATGTTTCTATGACTACTGAAATTTTTCATTGGAGGATAAAATAAACAGATTGCTGAAAGTTATGATCTTGGTGCAGTTTGTATTCTTTTGTGTGACTTACAGAAAGCAACAATTGTTTTAACTTAAAGGTGAGTGAATTTTCACTTATTCATGAGCTGCTTGCATTGTGGAAGCCAGAAACATAGATGATGTCATCGTGTGGCTTAAGTTGTTGCTGGTAGTTTTACTAGAGGAGGAAGGACTAGGTGGAAGATGAGAAGACAGAGGGTAGAGAACAGCCAATGCTGAGCATTGTCTTGTCAAGTAAGGCTCTTATAACCCACTACCTTGGGGGTGGGGAGTTGAAAACAAAGACTTCTCAGCAGGAAGTTGAGATATGTTCCTACAAGTACTAATAGCAGGGTAGAGGGCAGTGTGTTTTTATAACAAAAAATTGTGTACATTGATCTTACATTGGTCATGGATGAAAGAGCTAGGATAATGCAGAGCAAGGAAAGCTTTGGGTTAGGAAAACAGTTCACAGACAGAAATAATGATGGCTTCTGGACTGTCTGGGGCTGTCGGAGGATGTGATGGTGCCCAGTGGTCATGATGGAATTTGAGTTCAGGTTTCAGGTCTTCTTTAAAAATGTGAAAAAGTGTTTTGTGTTCTTCAGCCCATAGCTGTCAGCTGGTTGATTTCCCCCATTTCTCTTTTCCACCTTCCAGCCTTTGTCAGTAAATTTATGACATCTCAGAACTTTTCTATTCTCAGCTTTACCAGAAGTTTCAGCACCTAGTCTCCACATCTGTAAGGAATGAGATGGAGAATTAAAGGATATTCACTTTACTGCAATGAAATTTAACTGCCAAGATGAAGAGTGAAGCTAGTAATTGCAATGCTCTCCTATTTACTCCATGCTAAGGTCCTAGCAGAACTGGGGTGGTTCTGGAAGCAGGAATCCCTGACTTCCAGGAGTCCTGATCAGAGAGGCTGCAGTCCTCACAGTGGTTCTCTGAGCATGTTATGGAAGTAATCTTAAAATGTTTGGCTACAGCTGACCCTGGAGGCCTCCCAACAATTGGTTTTAGCAGTTTTTCTGCTTTTCTAATAACTACAGTAGAGTTTTGAGCAATACCAACAAAATAAATATTTTATTAAATAGAGGAAAAGAAATACTTTGAACTAAAATATTTGCAGTACATCACTAGCATTGACCAGAAGCAAGTGCCTACTCAGGGAAGCTTTAAAATATGTCTGTGTGTGTATATATATATATGCACGTACATATATATATATAAAATTTCAAGTATTCATCATACTAATCATATGGATACTAGTTTTGACTGATGAGGGAATTCACACTGAGTCATGCAGAGAAGTCAAATAATCAACAATTCTGCATTAATTACTGTATGTTACAAGAAATCTGGTCTGGAGTATGGGAAATACCAAAATTATTACACAGCTTCTCTGAAGAACCTGCAACTGCTGTCATCTTTAAGAAAGTAACTCAAAGTGAGAGAAATAAGACTGCCCTCCAAGAAGGCAAGAAAGATGAAGCTGCAAGAGTCAACATGTAATGGATTCAGGGCATACAAAATCAAGTTTCTAACTCAATTCAAAAGTGATCATAAAGAAGAATATGTGTGTGTACCAACTGTCGATGAGGAACACATTTACTGTACATAGCAAACACATAGTAATAAAAATTTTGAAAGAAGGAATCGATGTGAATTGGAAGGGGTAAGGGACTGACCTGTCATGGAAGAATGTTTTAAAAACAGAGCTGTAGAAGTACAACTGTCATCTCCACTGAAGGATTTGGGAATTTCGAGTAGCTCCCATTCCTACCCACTGGACAGACCGTCGCCACTCTCATTTGAACTTGTGAACTGATTTTATCTTCAGGCCACTGCACTTCCAGTTCCTCCAGTGCTTCTCATTTCAATATCCCCCAGCAACTGATGCTCTAATTGTGGTTGAGAGGAGGTACACTGGTAATGCTTCCCTACCCCATTTGGTTGCTGTAGTTATATATCTCACAATAAACCATGGTATCGGTGTTCTTTTCCTTGATATCGGCATTCTTGTTGCATCACTCTGAAATGCAGTTTATGGGGATTTGTTGCTACAAAATGTATTATTTTTTGATAGCTTCATAAAATGAAATTTTGAGACTGTATAAACAGAAAGTCACCCCATAGATGATGGAAATTTTACTAACGCCAACTTGTGACGCCTCTTCTCAGACAATAAATGTACTTTTCTGCAAGAAACAGACACAAAGCAAACATTACAAGATAATAAGGACAATAATGGCTTTTTCTTTGTTTTGTCTTCTACAACCACTTTTACTTATCAAGGAGCATAAAAAATGTCCTTTGAGGCTCTCTTCTACTCATTCACCCATTTTTTTCCTGAGCGTCTGAACTTTTAAAAGATGAGCCCAGGCTCCATTCTTGTCCCATACACACATATTCAAATCTAATTCAAATCACTCATGTTGTGCTCAGATAGAATATCAATGCCTTGACATAGACAGTTTGAAATATCAGTAAAGGTTTGGTATATCATTCATTATTCTAGATGATCACTAAGGCAACATGCAACTCTAAAAGTCTAGAATATCTAAAATGTTTACCAGCTCTTTATTTTGGCATTAGCATTAAATAATGAATGATTTAAGGCTATTTAATTTAAATTTTCAAAATGCCCTATCCTTCTTTTAACCACCTAGGTCTAATGAATAATACATGATTTATAAATACTTCTAGATAATGAGGACAGGTTATTTTAACAAGAATAACATATAAATTGTAACTTTTCATGATTTTTTCTGAAGCCCAATTTGAGGAGAGTAAGTAACATTTTCTCCTCTGTCATCTCATCTCTTTTTAAAGTATCAGTCACAATAAATTTGAGGTAGACCCAAGTCTGAAGTAAGAAATTTATTTTTCTTTTTCAAATCTTTCTTTTTAAAACTTTATCAAGATATAATTTATAAGAAATACAAGTCACTCAAAGTATGTAATTAGCTAATTTTTGAAAACTTCATGTCCCAGGAAGCCACAGCGATGAAGATTTATATTATTTCAGTCAGCACACGTTCTCCTGACTTATTATGCAACCAGTCCTCCACACTTGGGCATATGTAATCTGCTTTATTTTCTGTCTATGAGGATTAGTACACCTTTCCTAAAATTTCATGTAAAATGGAATAATGCATTATGTACCTTTTCATGTCTGACTTATTTAACCAAGTATATATCTGAGACATATCTGTATTGTTGTATGTATCATTATGAACTAGGATCTTTAAATCCTACATAATTGTTATTTTCAAGAAACTGTGCTGGAATTCTTCCAGCTCTCTATCCCAGCTCTACAATTCAATACATGCATAGCCCCTGTTTATAGCAGCACAATCCGTAATAGCTCATAAAATGTCAATATGTCTATCACTGGACAAAACTACATTCATACACAACAGACTGCTACTCTGCCATAGAGATGGGGACATTTGAGTCATTTGTAGAAAAATGGCTGGAACTTGAAATCATAATGTTAAGTGAAATAAATCAGATACACAAGCTTAAGTCCCATGTAGTTTCTCTTATGTGAGAAACCCAAATACAAATAAAAAACAAAGCGAAAGACAACAGGAAATAAGGAGCTAGATCTTCTACAGCTGGGAAGAGGAAGAAGCGAGGGAGGGGAGGGAAGGGCTGGGAGGAGAAGGTGACGGGATAGGAATTAAGATGTGTCCTGGGCTTGCACCAACTCCCCGTGGGGAATGTGATCGTATTCTGCAAACACGGCCTAATAAAGAATAAAAATCAGGGGGAAAACTTTTTCATTTCACTGGTCTCCTAAAATTGTCTCCTAATTAATCTCATTTTAAGTGCTGGCCTTATCAATCTGGCTTCTTAAGAGACTGCTTGCTACGACACACCATTGTCAGTTACTGACCGTCACACCATCTAGTGCAGTAGTTCTCAGTGTCCCAAGGAACCTAGCAAGTGGCCAGAGCAAGCCGGATAAGCTCAGCCTCAGAATGCACATTTCTGCCTTCAGCCAAAACAAGACAAGAACAACCAGTGTCTTATGCGCTTTGTAATACTGAGCTTCCGTGTCAATTCTTAATTGCAGGGTAAACTTCTTGCTTTAAAACTTTGAAAGTAGCGAATATAGAGAGCAAATCTATTCTTTGGACACTGGCTGCCCCTCTTGTCTCATTCTGACCTCACTTCTTTAATCACCTTTCTCTTATCTATAGATAGAGCTGTGCTCCATTGCCACTGAGTCCCACACAACTCCCTTAGCCCAGCAGGCGAGGCTTTCTCCAGCCTTTGGTGCAGCTGCTCCATTTTCCTGGTTTCTGCCCTCAACTTCACCTGTCTCGTAGACATCGCTTAAGACTTTACATTCCAGGTGAGCCTTATTTAAGAAATCTCTGATTTTGCCCCTTGATATGTAGAAATCGCTCTTCCTCATTGGGTTCCTTCTGTTTTCTAAATACACCACTGAAAATTTCTGTATCCATAGTGCTTTCTTGCTAGTTACCTTGATGAGCCGACCACTGACACCACCCAAGGCAATCATCAACTGACAGTGACCTGTGACCCAGTCACTGAGGACAAACTCCGGCCCTCTGGCTGTCACTGGACAGTCCGCTAGCTCAGGATGGACTCTTGACTCAGAGTTCTTTTTGGCTTGGGCTCTCCCAGGTTGAAATTTTTGTTACAGAAGACAAAAAAATACCTGAAAGATTTTAACATTGAAGTATGCTTATTTCTTTTTTCAGATTTGCCTTTTATCCCAACTGCTTCTTTGTCTGCCTGTTTCTAGCACCTAACCCAATGCCTGTTACAAAATAAACATTTAAGAAATGTTTAGGAGTGAATGAACAAGTAGACAGGTGAATAAATATGCCTGGGGGAAGTAATTAAGAATTTATAGCACCTAACCTGTTTATTCAAATTAAAAGCCACTATACATAAAATAGACAGAAAAAAACTGATGTAATTTAACATGATGAATAGGATAAAATGAAGGTATAAACACAAATAGAGGAGGATTAAGGAAGATAACAAGCTCAAGAACTGAAAATTTCAGACTGTTGTAATTCTCAACTACTCTTGAATCCAGCAAATGAAGATAGGTTCAAGTGAAACAATAAAGGTAATTGGACATCTAGATTTTTCTTACATGACATTAAGCCATCTATGTGAATAATAAATGTAGAATTGATTTCTCCTTCATTACTATGAAGTCTTATGAAATATATAAGGAGCAAGGAATTGGGATGTGTTGTGTGTCTGTACCAACTCCACACAGGAATGTTGGCATGATGTACTGCAAACGTGCACACAAAAGGAGGTGGACCAAGAGGTGAGGGAAGGGAGGGAGGGGGGAAAGGGGATGAGAAGAGGATGGAAGATGGTTTATGTGCATGCACCAGCTCTGCACAAGGAATGTAGATATCATGTACTAAATACGTGAACAGTACTGAAAAGCTAAAATGATAAAGTGCAAAAGAAGTACCTGGCACTGGGCATACAAAAGTAATACAAACAAGCTTGCATCCTTCCATACATCAAATCCCATCAGGGACATAAACTGAAAACTAAATTATAATTCAAAGTGCTAAAGTGCTTTAAAGGGATGCAAATAAGGACAGACGAAGTCACCTTAAAACTCACAGAAAAAATTCTCAAGGAGCTTAAGAAAGAGATGGAAGAATACAATCTATTCTGAGAATAAGTTTTGACAACTATTCATATCTCTTCAGCTAAGTGTAGCAAAAAAAAAAAAAAACTCTGGAGAGAAAGGGTGATTCACGAAATAAAATAAATCTGAATGAGAGGATGATTTGGGCCTTATTACAAGTTGCCATCATAAATATTTATGTTGCATATTTTTGTGCTTGATCAACTATAAGGTGTTGCTTCTTATAAGCTTAAAAACTAATGATAACCAATTCCCTCCTTACATGTGTGAGATAGACTTGGCAATCATGAGTAGGTAGGATGGAGTCTGCAATACCAGGACTATCTATCATTTGAGGAGCACAGAGTTTACTTGCTTAAAATATTACATTCTTTAGGGTGCCTTTGTATGAATTCCTTATGATGTAAGCCATTTTTTTTTATAAAGTTGTAACTTTTAGAAAGTCAGGCTTGTTGTGCACATAAACCTGATGGAACAGGAGGCTTCACTGCCATGCTGGGAGTGAGAAATGTATTCATGGGACAAAGTATCCTACCCCAAGAATGATATGAAGGAGTGAGACAGAAACCAGTTGAGCTTTTCTGGAAAATAAAGAAAAACATCTCAAAAATGAGAACTCTTTCAAGAAAAGCAGATCCAGAAAAGAAAAAAACATTCAGTTAAAAGAAAATCAAGCTCAGGAAAACATAAAAGTTATTTGGATTGCAAAGGAATTCTTTTGTTTGGTTCACCATTTGTATTTATCCTTATAACTAAAATTATTTTTATATCTTTAGCCTAGTACACACAGACAGACATATAGACACACATTTTAATTGAATCTATATATTTATTTGATGGATTACTACTTAATATCTACAAATGAGAAATAATATCATAAGAACTATGATGTTACTACCTAATATAAGATAAGCACCCAGATTCTTGTACCTTCAAGAATTTACAGTCTACTGGAAGACACACGAAAATGTAATACTAGTCTATGATAGGAGATCTATTAAATATGGGACTACTCGGGGAAATTGGTCTAATAGGAAACATTAAGAAGAACTTCCAAAATAAATGACTGCTGATACACACAGCAAGGGCATGAGTAGACCAGGAGATCCTAGGAGAGGTAAGAGAGAAGGGAGCAACATGAGCAAACACCCAGCAAGAGGAAAGTATTTCTTGGTTTGCAGCACTCATGAGGACAGTTTTGCATAAATCCTCAGTGTGTCCTGATTCCATGACTTTGTGTCAACTACTGGAAAAACCAGGACATGGGAGGTGATTACTCTGCTCTCATCTGAAAGAAAGAAATACCTACAAAGTTTGGAAAACCTAATTCGATAGGCATCTTCTGAAATTTGAGGGAGGAAATGACTGGTTTATGACTCATGTCTACAAAGTCTAATGATTACCAGCTTTGACTAGCCCAAGTACTCATTAGCGACAGAATTAAGTCTCCACTGAAGCAATCCAGCCTTCCCAATAAAGTTGGGCTAGGACCTCTGTGTGCTTTCCATGGATCAGAAAGGAGATAGCTGTGAGTTT